ATGGTCTATGAACGTATTCGCCAATACCCGTCAGCGAGGCGTGTGCGGACCATTCAGGCGACTTGTTGAGGTTAGGGTATCTGCCTTCCATGCAACAAGGAGTGATGCCCTGGCACTGTATCGTGAGCTGGGCAAGAAGGCCCTTCTTGGGTGTGCAAGAAGGTGTTCTGAAGTCAGATGGCATCCCTTTCAGCAGTCGCTTCTCCTGTAGCAGGGTGTTGAGTCATTATGAAATAGGTATTTTGGCGGCAAAGATGTACTTCAGGCGCTCTGACGGCCCAATCTCACGAAGTCTCAGCGGTGGCGTGCATGCATGGTCTCAGAATCAAGCTCTCCAAGTCATTGAAAACGCAGTGTCGAGAGCCCAACAGCGGTCCATCATTTTGTGAGATGACTTTCTCGTGGTTTACAGTTCCTGTCCTTGAGTAGCTCCATAACTCTGCCAGGATGGGGAGGCAAAGATGCTCCGGTCCCTTGTCTCTTGCCTGCAAAGCAAGCTTCTGAAGCTTTTATCGAGGGCTTACGCCGGGTTCTGTGGAGGTAACACGTGGACCTTGCGCGGGCTATGCGGGGATCTTATCATTCGGATACTGTAGGGGAAACCACGGGGTGATCTAGCATTCTTTGGGAGTTACACAAGTGCTGTGCACATCTCGGTCCGCGGTACTGGGCACTATCAGCGACTTGCAGGCTGGATTTGGGTTGCAAGGCACTGTAGTTTACTTTCGGGCAAAGTCAAGCAGAAAACAACTTGGGAAGTCAGTCTGGATCAAACACAACAAAGTGTGCTATGATGGTTCGCTCCAATTCAGCCTGATCTTTGTGGCATCGGTAAGGCCGGATTGAAGCTCAGAACCGGCCGCACGAAGGAAACTGCTTGGCGGGAGGTTGAGGGCTCGTGAGGGCCGTTAGGGCTCCTAGCGGGTACTCGGATCACGGCCGACGTCTCTTCGATGGGTCTTCCATGCAAGCTTACGGACCTGTAAAGTGGACTTGGAGTCTTGTACAAACTTCTTTGTCTCAAACCATTTCTCATGCAGCTGAATGGCTTGGCCATGCAGTTCTTGCAATGCATGACGTGATGTGGATATTGCCAGAGCCCTAGCCAAGTCAACCCTTCACCTCCATTTTTCAGGAGGCACTTAGCATGGCCCAGCAGGGCCTGGGACTCTTCAAGGAGCGATCTTTCAGTCTTTTTCCGAAGCCATCATTGGTTGCAGTCTTGGATGGTGTGCTGCACCTCCTACACTATGGTTTCGGTTGGTGGTGATGCTGACACGATGGTAGAGGTGGCGCTAGGGATGTGCTGTTGCACGGCTTGAGTTGATTTTTCACTTGGTGCTGAATGGCTTCTACATTGACAAGACAGGATGATCCTCTTCACAAAAGTTTGGCATTGTCGCAGGAGCTGGGAGACTCCAAGGGGGAGAGCGACTGCCAACGCATAATCAACAGGACGGGCCTGCCAGGGCATCAGAATCCTTGCAGGGCTTGGTTTCTGATGTCCTGCAATTCATGAGGCTTTTTGCGTGTTTGTTTGGGATCCGTGCTGTCTGCTGCGCCCTTTTGGGGGGAAGACGTGCTGGGAAGGTGAAACACTTAGAGCGCTGGTGTAGCAGGGTTTTCCTAACATCTGGTCGGGTCCTAGAGCCAAGCATTGAGGTGGTTCCCAGGTTGGAATTCAAAAAGTTTGTTTTCGAGCAGAGCACAGTTCACTTGAAAGCCCATATCTCCGTGACGTTCTGTGGCAACTTCCTGGCAAAGTGCATGCAGTGTTTTGATTACTACCTTAAGTCTAATGTACAAAGATTGCAGAGACGCTTCCTGTAGATTCTAGCAGAAGCTTTGGCAATCGTGAAGCTTCTTCTCTTTCAGTAATCTAGGCTTTCAAGAGTTCGCACCATCTGACCCATTGAAAAACCCGAAGGGCTTATGCAGAGAGCGGCGACATGGACAAGGCGCCGAACCGAAATGATGCGCTGAAAGCTCTGGAGGACTTTCTGTCATGATCTTCTGCAATGGTACATAAGTTCGCAAATGGCACAGCAGGAACAAGGATTTGAGCCTGGGCTAGCATACATCAAGGTTGGCTGTTACGCAACTGTCTGTCTGTCAGCCGCCTAGCAAGCTAATGCCTCAGCGGTGGGGGGAGGCTTTCCCCTGGTGCTCAAGGGCATTGTATTGAATCCCCAGGTCCGTAGGCCGTCACGGTGGCATTATTGGTCCGCTAGATTACTTCTCCAACAGCGTCCTTGAAATGCACAGCTTGCATTCTGTCTATGTTTCACATGCCGATATAGATGCCTGTTTGCTGGGATTCTGGGTGGACCATGTAGGGCTGGTTTGTCTGTAGGACTGCAGGCTTCAGGTGAATACGTATGTATCAGTACAAGATACACCGTGATACAGCAGAAAAGCACTCAAGATTGGCTGCGTAGTAATTGTATCCGCAACACGGGTTGCAGGAGGCTTCAGAATCAATTGTCGTCGCGCTTGGGCACACGTTTGGCCTTGCGGCCATTTAACCTCGCAATGTTGTAGCTGAGCAGACAGCTTGGCATGTTCTGAGCTGTTCGGATCTTTCGGATGTTTGGACCCCTTGCCTGGAAGCGTCAGGCGTGCCCTGTCAAAGCTCATGCATGATCTTTCAGAGATCCTGGTTGTGTAGTGCTCGTAGTCGAATTTGTTGTTGCCAAATGGCCAGGCACCTACTTGCCCTGCGTGATTTGCTAGTGGCAGGACCTGGCAAGCGCTGTGGAGAACAAAGACAAGCGCCCTGGCGCACTAATTCTTTGAAGTTGACGTTGAGGGCCATCATGTTTTGGATCTCGTCCTGTGCCCACCATGAAACATGAAAAGCAGCCTGACCATCGAAGCACGCCAAGTCGAGCTCCGAGTGCAGAGGAACTATGTCGAGGGCAGTTTGCATAGCAGCAAGCTTCAATGGCAGGCAGCACATCTGCAGCACTTGAATGGGCCTAAGGAGCCAGTGGAAGACTGCCATCGTGGAGCTGCATCTTGGTTTAAGACTGATGTTGCTGGTGCATCAGCTTTCGGGAGCGCTCCCGTCGGCACAGAGGTATCACGTTCCATGTGGAGCCTTCCTGAACTGATACTGAACATGTGTAACTTTGTTGCAGAGTAGCTCTAGTTCTCTTGCAAATGCTGCCAGAGAATCACAAAGCAATTTCTGCCAAGACATGCAACTATGCCGGCCTTCCTTGGTCAGGCTTACATAAAATTCCAGACATTGTCGGCTTCTTGTGTTATTCGGAACTGCCGTGAGAGGTGCCAACAATGCCAACAACCTTGCCCGTGCTTACCAAGGAACAAGAGCTCCGCCTACACGAAGCATGCGGGGAGCCCAAAGCTGGGTGGTGGGTCTGCAAAAATCACAAATGCTAGCCTCCGTGGGCTAGTGGAGTTTCTTACTCCATGTAAGCTTCGACATGTTGCAACAGAACTTGCACAAGAACCGCATGTACTCTGGAAATAAGAACGAACGTGAAATAGTCCCAGGGTCCAGACAAGGCCTCTGAATATGCTGAAATTTGAACTGCAAGCACTTAACCTACATTTTGTTCCAGTCCTTCGTCCTCAAATGTTAGATCTGTGCTATGTGTTTGCTTTTGTTCGTCTCGCACTATTCTTTGCTGGTCGTAGAAGGCTCTCTGGATGTTGCAGTTACTGAGCGTATGATGCACGTGAAGGGCTTCACGTCCAAATCTGCGAGTCTTAGAGCCTGTTTGGCCTGTTGCTCATCACGTGAAGTCTTGGCTACTAGTTGCCTGTGTTGCAAGAGCTTTCAAGGACGTGGAGCAGATCTTCGGCTCTGCGCTGAAGAAAGCCTCGTGCTCAGAGCCTAAGTGCAAGGCAAAGGCCAGGAGCGTGCCAGGATCAAGGGGGCACAAGAGTTTTCAAGTCTCATGACGCCAGTGCCCAGGCACTTGAACCCGAAGAGCTAAGCTAACTGCTAGATCAGGGAGGGAGATGACACGAATGAAGCACGTGCGCGGAATCTGCACTCCCGCCCCGTGACACGTGCTGATCCCTGTAGGACCTCGATCACCCCCATGGCTTGCGTGGCAACCTGCATACTCTCCCTTGCGAAACTTGCATGAATTTCTTCCGCAGAGCGAGGACCGGCAATCCGCAGCCAGCTTCCTCCAGCAGATGGGAGTGCGATCATCAGGTGACTACTGTTGCCAACAGTTCCACTGTTCTGGACCCGATAGGGCCCCTTGTAGTCTCAGGAGTGCTAGCTGTGGAGCAGCAAAGAGATTAGTTGGGGGGTAGATGCGGGTTCTAGACCTTTGGAGTTTGAGGAGATTGTTCGGCGTTATTTTTGCTAGGGCATTCTTCAGGATACTTGTTCTATTGGTTTACTGGGGTCCCAAATGTCAAAATTCGGGGATATGTACTTACTTACTGTTGAAGGGAAGGATCTGCGCTGGGTTATGCGTCAAGGGTGTGTTGTGTTTGAAGGTTATGGTCTGTCAGGTGCCTGGGGCTGTCTGAGCAGAGTAGTTAGGCAGGGCAGGGCAGCTGCCTCTGATGGTGTCTCCGCTGAGACCGGAAAGACGGAGTTTTAGTATTCAGGTTCTGTTTTCGTGAACGCATTGCTATGTTGAGTCCTTGAAATTGAGGTTTTGCGGCTTTTGGGGGTGGGTGATATTGGCTGGCGGTGCTCTGCGTTTGGGATTTGCGGTGGACTATGTTATATCTCCTAACCTCCACCTGGCATGCTAAAGCTCTTTGGCGTCGTCAAGCACAGCAAGTCCAGGACAGAAAGTCAAGCAAATCGCCGCTCAAGTTTGTGCTGTGCGGTTTTTCAGGCAGCGCGCCTGAGTTGGTCCTTAGGGAGGTGACGAAGGCGCACCTGGGCTTGTCGAGCCATTTCGGTTTAGTGAGAAGAGCTTCCACTTGAATAACCGTGTATGCGAGGATGCTAGCTGCTAGATGTCATTGGGCTTTTTACCCGTGGTATTCTGTGATGCCAGGTCTTCACCTATGTTGGCTTTCGCATTGGCGGCTTGGGCTGCTAGCCTGCAAGAGTTGGTCAGGGTTTCACAAAGCAACGCACCAATCTGCTGCGACGAGCTTGGCACCGGCCACAGATGTTGCAAGCTTTTGTACACAACTCAGTGTCAGTCCTACCAGGGCAGGAACTCCGCTAGATTGCTTGCCGCTCAAGAGCTTGGCGGTGTTTTGATTCTTCTACATGTTCGACCGTCCAGCAGCCAAGGCTATGGGCCGCGCTTCCGATGCCTGAACCCAACGCATGCCCTCGCCGTGGGGGAGCGCGGGGAAGGGGGTGGGAGTAGGTTTTATGTCTCCAGAGTGCGGCTGCGTCTAGTCTAGAGACTCTAGTTTGGTTTCGACTCCCAAACTTCTCACCCTTGCCACTCCACCAGGTTACCTTCCACTTTCTCTGTTTGCTGTCTTGTAGCTGCCATGGTTTCAGGATGACATTGGCTCGCTGAAAGCCGTCGCGTGCCTGCGGATCTCAGATGAGGCGCCCGGTGCGATCCTTCGCATTACCCTCCTCCAAAACAGCTTCAAAATCTCTTCCAGGCCGACGACTGGGAAAAGGAGCTGCAATACCACCCAGGTCGGGTGCATTAGCATGCGAGCATGTAGATCCAGTACCTCTGGTTGGACATAGGTTGTTGCAAGCGCCCAGCGTTGTCTCCTTTGTGCGGTGCTTGATGTGGACTTGCAATCTTTTGTCAATTGCAGCCACGCCTGCAGCAGGTGACTGAAATTTACATAACAAGACACAGTGCAAGCTTCTTACAATCCCAAATTCTTCATGTGGAGTGCCTACATCTTCCCCAGCTTCAGGCATTCTGGATGGCTGCCTGCAGTCCCAGAGCGCCCTAGGCTGAGCCGACAAAGGCGGCGATGCCCCATGGTGATAAGAAGAAGTAATGAGAAGCACATGACTAAGGATGCCAACTAGAAGTTGTGAAGCACCAACCCTCGACCTGTTGTACATCTACACAAGTTCAATCATGTGTTTGGCAAAGGGGGTTTCTTCCGCGAGCGTGTCGCACAAGATCACTGTGGTTGCTTGAGCCTGCGAGGAAAGGCAGACTGAAATTTGTGGAAAGCTACTTAAGGGCTACGCTACCCTGAAGTGGGGCAATGGGTTGATGATATTATATTCGTCAGAAGGACATGCCGGAGTATTCTTGGGCTGGGAAGCTAGACAGAATGTGATAACCACGCATGAGGTTGTCTAAGGAGACTCTCCTCGCAGGTGGGGCCCGGCTGCCCTTAGCAAACCCGCACTGCAAAGAATTTCATTCTCTTCAGTGGTCATATGGCAACTTCGCTTACCTCAGGATTATCAGTGCCCTTGGCTATGTCAGATCTTGCCAAGAAAGCCTCAAACCTGACTCCTCACCCCGACAGCACAGCGCCATGCAGGCTTTTGCTAGGGCCAAGGCTAGCAAAATGGAAGACGGGTGCGTAGCGCATGAGGGAAAAAGACACCGTGCACCCTGTGCAAATATTTAACACTGTAGGGCACGCTCGTATTCCTTGGTCAACCTAGGATTGCCGCATGCAGCACGCGCTCTGAGAAAAACATTTGGAGCCGCTACCTTCATAGGGCGGTCAAGCTATGCTCCGACACTTGTCGCGCTGGCTCACTCAGACCTTTGTAGTGATGTCGACTGCCACAGTCTCATCAATGAAGCATGGCAGAACAGACCCCGAGCCGCTTCGGCTGCAACTTTCACAGATTGATGTGTGTCAAACCAAGTTACGTAGCCTTGGCATCTCCCGGGCGCGGATTCCGTTGAAGGTCCAAGCGGAGTCTAGCACGCCGTACCTACGAAAGCAATCATGAGCCTACAGAAAGGGCGTGTCTCCACCCAGGAGGTCCTTTATTGGATTGCCAAATACAAGGAGGTTATCACGTTGCAGGATTTGTAATGGGAGAACTGTTTTACGCAGATTGTGAAGGGCCATACAGGCTTGCTTGCAGGTACCATGAAAGCTGTGCGATGTCAATTCTATGCTGTTGCTGTTTTGGGTTCTTCAGACAGCCAAGGCTCTCAACCTACTTCGCAAACGGATGATACGGATTGGAGGGGTGCAACGGCGGTGTTCCTTCGGAACGTCCCGTCGAAGTGCGATCGTCAGACGTTGTCTCGCCCCCCGTTTGCCTTGCTGTTTTTTTTGCAAATAGGCAAAGGATGCTATCCCCCACCATGCGAATGCTTTAGTGACCCTACCAGCGAACCGTCAGCTTCTGAATGGTGGAGTCCCAATTATTCCTAAACCCTCCTTTCCACTCCCTGCCTACTATAATTAGAGGTTCCCCTGAATCCCAACCCCCACAATGGCAGAAACATGGTAAAACATGTCATGGCCCTGAACCTCGACCTTCCTAGTTGTTTGTAATCTTCACCTACGCTTGGAAACTGCTGACGACCCACCCTAAATTTCCTGGGCAATATCCTTCTAAGTCCTCATAGCCCCCAATAACATCCCCATACAATCCTTGTAAAATCCCGCTCAACCTCTAATTGAGTTGCAAGTGCATATGACTTGATTCATAGCGTGTCTTGAGCATGCGAAGTGCTTCTCCCAAGGTGCTTCTCCCAAATGTTTTAGGGTGGGTAGCCCGGCCCCGCCCCGCCCGGTAACGCATTCTAGAGTTTGGCGCCCTGTGTCCTGCCCAGCCAATCGCAGCTACAGAAGTCATACTCAAAGCCTTGGTCCCAAGGCTCAAGACCGTTTACGTCCTACACCCCAAGCCCTCACCCCCCCACCCACACAGAGCTGTGCAGAAGAGGATTTTGTCATGTTGCGAGGCCTTGGAACGGTTTTGAGCTGACAAAACTTTGTCTCTTTTGTGCAGCTAAGGCTTCTTCCGCAGTTTGGGTTTACATGGTTATGACATCGATGTGGCACTGCATCCGAACGGCAACTGATCTGACCACAGGCATTCGTATATCATGTCCTTCAAGTGCTAAATGTAGTGCCATGAGAGCGGCAGGTCAGTGTCTAAGCTTGCTGGTATGAACCCAGCTTATGGTGAGATAGCCATCAAATGCATGCGCACCTTTCCCAGCTGATCGGTTCGGAATGAGCCCTGTGTTGTGAGAGCTGTCAGAAGGCACTAGTACATGTCTCTGAACTTTTCTGAACTTTTGGGCTGGAGCATGCATCATATGCATTGGGTGTCGAGGGCTTTGTACCAAATTTTTGAAGGGAGCGCCTTGGAGCTGACCGGACAATATCCGCCCTGAGTGATTCTTCTAGCTGAAGCAAGCATCCAAGTTTCCAGTGGTCCTCACCGGAGGCGGTATTGAAACCCAACCCAGCAGAACCACTCCTACATCAAGCAACTTAGGCAAATGTCGTGGCTACGCAAGGGTGCGGTTTCATAGTTATTCTGCACTGCACAACTTCGTAGCTAGGGAGCCTTGCCAGCAAGGGTGAAGGGTGGTTGGTTGAGGCTTGGAAGGTTTGGCATGTAAGGCAGCCTTTGGCAGGTTTATGAGGGTAGGCCTGTGAATGACATCTAAGCGCTGAGTATTTAGACTCGCAGATCTTTTTTTGGATCTGCAACGCATTACCCATGGCATTTGGCTTTTGGACTTTCCCGGGCTTGCGTGGAAAGCAAAACATACTTCTCCCTGGGTGTAAAGCCGAAGCCGCTTGCACATGTTGCTGTCAAAAATGCCTTTGCATCATACCGAGGGTATTCTATCAGCTTGCATTGTTGGAACCAGCAAGCCCAACAATCCTTGGCATGTCGAGTCGAAACCATCGAAACTTCTTAGCGACTTTGATCAGCCCTGAAAAAGACGCGCTATCACAATAACCTTGCGCCAGAGGATTGTGTCCTGGTTCGCAGCGCAGCGAAAAACGTGGGGTTCAGTTGGAAAAGCGATGAGAGAAATCAATACCGATAACCAACACGATCAGGCCCAAAACTTGCAAAATGATGACAGCAAAACACAACGACAACGACTTTCGGGTCAAGCAAACCGGAACGGGGTTTTTATACAACCCTACTTTTGTTTGATCGTGCAACTGTGGACCTTCAATGTAGATCAGGCTGTGCATAAAGCGGATACAGTGGAACGATTTTTGGTAAGTTCATGTGCTATGATCACACCAGGATTTCCAAGGGGTCACACGTTCCGGTATGAACCCAGCTCCTCACCGTAGTAGCGTCCCTGAAGTCTGTGCCGAGAGAGGGATGCCAACCCGAGTTTGATGTTTGCCACAAGGTTGTCAACAAAGAATACCCCTACAAGTACAAGTAGTAGGGCCCTCGCTATGCAATTGGTGTTTTGGCGCCTTTCCAGGGTTCCTCCAAGTCAATTACCACATCAAAGCTTGAAGACTTTCGGACGGCCCATCTATCAACTAATAAGTTGGGGGGAAATGCTTCGCGAAGGAAGTGATAGACAGCTGCCAGCAGGTCCGCCAGGTCCTGAAAGACCTAGAGGAATCAACATCTGAGACATGAAAAGAAGTCTCCGACACGGCCATTGGTCCACATATAGTGTCCCTAAGCATCCTCATTCTAGATTAAACACCCTGCTATGGCTGTGTCACCAGGTTCATATGCAGCATCTGCCGGGCTTCCATAAGCCGACTCCGTTATTTTGCTCCCTGTCACGTGAAATTAGACATGGGAGGGTCTCAACGTGTATGCCCAAATGGTGTAGTCGTCACAGAAAGGATGCCGGAAGAGGCTGATGCTTCTTCAAGCAATTCCTTTTCAGGGGAGTCCCAATCCTACTATGTGGAGGAAAATTCAAGATGTTAATTTCAGAGCTCCTGCTGCAAGAGAGTGTGTTGAGATGAGAGGATCAGGTACTGGTGGTGCTAGTGACATTTACATAGGCAGCTTAGGGGTCGATATTAGCTGCTTCTCCAACTGTGAAATTGAACAGCAGTAACTGGTTGAACGGTTGAGAGGCCGTTTCTGGGCAATAGCAGTGGATGATCTTCCTGATGGGACTGATGCCAGCAGATATTGTAGAGGGCATTTTCTGCAGTAATTAGAACAGTAATGTGCGTTCTCTATTGCAAGAATTGGCAGCTTACGCTGCCGAGACTTATGGTCGACTTCAAAAGAAAGATGCTTCGTAGCTTTTCAACTGTTCCCCAAAGAGGTCAGCTTGGAAATGTCCAAACAGAGGAACCTCCAAACACGTCATGCTGTGGGTCGTTTGACCTGGATCAACTCCGCCCTGCTCTGCTGCCACAGGTTGCCAAGGTTCTGCTGCAAAACTATCAGCTCTTGATCCACACCCGTAGAACGTTGAAAGGGTTAAGTTTTTTCTGCTGAAAATCTGCAGATTTCGTGGCCAGGCGTTCGTGATTTTGTATGCGTTTAAAATTCTTTGGGTTGTGAACAACGACTCGTCCCGCTAGGAAAAAAGACTAGAACAGGATTTTGCAAAGATCTTTGCAGTTTTGATTTCTTTCAGCAGGCGGAGACAGGTTTTCTTTTTTGCAGGTGGAGGATGTATGCACCAAACCGATGGCATCCTGTGAAAGGCCCATGAGCCGGATCAAATCCCATGTAATCTCTCGAGCCCAGCCCGGCAACTGCCTGCAAATTCCATAGGCTCTCGAGGACACTAAAATGAACCCTGCACAGCCTTCAAAGCAAACTCATACTATCTCAATAGAATCCTTGGACATAGGCTACGAAAGTCTCACGTAAGCCTACGAAGCTTGTCTTGCTGGAGGCGAGCCATTGCGGACAGCTGCAGACCAGGATCAGTGCCCGCTGCATAGTACGCAAATGTAAAGAGAACTATGGCAGAACAAGATGGTGGGAATCACCTCTCCGAACGTCGTGCAAGAAGTTTCAAACCCTCTTGCAGCCCAGATCTCATGCATCGAC